AAATTTTGTTTTTAACACATATTTTTCTGTTTCTACCTTATGGAACTGATGACCATCTATGATGGTATCTGGAACAGGTCCATTACTATGACTTTTTGTTAATTTGGGGTATAATTTTTGTTCTTTTTTTGTGTCTGCTTGCTCTGAAAGCCTACGAATGATTTGAGGCAATGGGAATTCTGGTTTCCGTACCATTCTCTTTAAATTTGACAAGAAATTTTCAAAAGGAAACGCTGAAATATTTTCTAAACTGCCAAATTTATGGGCATCATTTGCCAAATGAACTAATGCATGCACATTGTAGACTGCCATATCACGCCCATACACTTCATAAAAGTGGGAAACAAAAGCAACAAGCAGGTCATTTGCATATACATTATATTCTTGACAAAGTCTTTCGTTCAACAAGATATGCATTCCTACAGACAAAAAGCAAAAAAATTTTATACATATTTTGGTGAATGGTCCCGTAAAGAGCAATTAGACCTGTATATAACAAAAACTGCCTGAATTCTGTCGCTTTCCACCTATCTATTTCTTTTAAAGATCTGGGTTTTCTTGCAAACTCTGACGGTATACTTTGTTTTAAGTCAATCAAACAAGACGAAATTTGCTCAATGACCCTTGACCCAAGTCTACACTTCAAAGGACCTTTTATCCACAGAAGAAGTAATCTTTTTACGACCCCAAGACAAACCAAATGCATGTAATCAATGGGTATTTGTGAGACCATCCCTATCTCAATTCGAGTCAGACAAGAAATTCCCTTGTGATGGTCTTCATCTTGTCTCCTTTCAAAAGAACAATCAGTTCTGAGAGGGGCATTGGTTTCTGGAAATGTCATTTTACCTTCCCAGACCCCATTCTGAGTGCACTTATCACAGCCATGGTAACCAGAATAAGATTTGACACATTTAACAAAGGCTTTAGCTGGTGAATCACATATTACTGAATCAATCAAAATTTTGAAAACTTTACCACAACACTGAAGTCCGTTTCTTTGTATTTCCAAATACTCATTCACAAATTCTTCAAGGAATTCATTGGCATTTTCTGGTTTGGAATGACCGTAATAGAGAGCAATAACAAATGGCTTTTTAATCGGAATGTTTGTAAACCTCCCTAAAATTGGCCAAAATTGATCACTTGTACTTTTAAGTACAGGTCTCTGTAAGAATCAGACAAAAGGTGAATCATGAGGGTTCTCAGAATTCGATGATTTTACACACATAGGTTTCTCTTACACTATGAATCACGTATGTAAAATGAAAATTATTTTGGGTCCTGGTTACTATGGAAACATGGCCAAAGAAATTTTCCCTAGCAACCGGTCTATTTTCCATGTTTATGGACAAATATATCACTAAACTTAGAGGCTTTAAATTGAATGTTAATATTACCAGAGGGGTTCTTAAATAATGTTATCATAAAGATAAACATTTCAAGTGATAAAACCATGCAATACATACTATTTTTATTTTAAGATATTTCTTTTACGGGCAATGGAAGATAAGCGTGTTTTGCATTTTTTGCTGATTCAGCATTTTTGAAAATTTGGGCAATTTTCAAGGCCATATATCTCAAACTTCTGGCACAATACAAGAGTATGGTATATTTTACATAAAAGCAGAGGAATTTTCCTTTTGGAATTTAAATTCAAAAACGTGTGTTTTTTAATATTTACAATCGGTTGCCTAGCAACAAAAATGGATGTTTTGATTAAGAGAAAGAGACAAATTGTCAAATATGCGAGTTATTTATGGAATCAAATCTTATTGGCGGATACCAAATCCAATTTTTAAAGTAAAAACATATTTCTGAGACTTCTTTATGAATCCAGGAATATTTTGTAAGTACTTATTGCCATAGCAACAGAAAATTCCCCTTAGCAACAAAGAAAATAAATCCACTTTTGACATGCACTCATTCACAGATTTGATTATTTTCGTCTAGAAATGATGACTTGGTAAATATTAAAAAATAGTGTTGAACTCTAACAATGGTAATGTTTGTTCTTAATTGATGCATAGCAATATTACTGAGCTTATAACGTTAATAAAATTATACATTACAAGGAGCTAAAGTTATTCTCTAAAGTCTCTGTACATATGCATTTTAAGACCAATTCTCCGTAATTATCAAAATTGGTTGGCAATGCATAGTTACAGATTTGATTTTTTTCTGTCATAATTTTAAACAAATGTGTGATTGATTGTGAAATGTAGAAGTATTTTTGAATTATAACCTCGGTTGCCATGGAAACGGGATACAGGAGATAATTAAATTTGTGTTTAATTTTTTAAACCAATGCTAGAGATTCAAACAACAATGTTTACGATTCAATTTAAATTTCACACTTGCTAATGGTCATGCTAGGTACTGGGAACTATCAAAATATGGTAATTTACAAATTAAGCATAGAAAAATGAAGGTCAATATTTTATTAAATTTAACATTTAAAATAGAAATTCGGTGGGCAAATGATATGCATAAAAGAATTTAAAGGTGAATATTGATTTTTTTTTCTGCATTTTGAAGCATTTTTGCTTCCCAATTACTTCCCTTGGATTACTCTCCAAATAATTTTTTTATAAATAATTATTACATGCTTGGAGCAAGTCCCTGTGCTTTTTTCTTTCCATTTTGTGGTTTTCATGCATTTAACCCGAGATTCCTCTGCTTTGAAAATTGTCACACCTGAAGGAGCCTCTGCCCTGACTCTCCCCCGACCCCGGTACATTTTGCAATAAAAATATATTACATGTTAAAAAACGTTGATGAGAGACAATGTAGACATATGTCAGGTCAGACAGTGACTGACACAATCTCTACGTAACACTGTACACGTATGTATACTTAGAGTAGCTTGCTTAGACGGTTAAATGTTCAAACTAGCATGATTTACAATTTTTACCACACAAAGTTTTCCTCATGAGCAATCTTTTTATGAAGTTAAAAAATGCATCTTGGTGCACAGGGGCTTGCTCTAGGTGTATAAAATATATTTATTGAAATATCATTGTTTGTATAATTGATATATGATATTTTTATTTAATTTTTTGAACAATAAATTAAAGCACACCTTTAGCTAGCACCAAATTTTATTTTAATGCAACAATACATTTCCTTTATTTCCCTTAACTGTAACTGTAAAGTTGGGGGTGCCTTTTAATAAAGATTTCCTACAGTGATAAGTTACGTGCGAAAAGACTGGGGGGGGGGGGGCAGCCCCCATCCCCTGGGCCCCCTGTTGCTACATCCCTTGTTTGAAACAATTGTCCAAAGTGGGTATAATAAATCTACAATACATCAATAGGTAATCAATGCCCTAAGCAGGACAAATTAATTCAGAAAAATTGCCTGCAATTGTCCAAAGTCAATACTTGCCATATAAATGTGGGACAAAAAGAATTATAGCCTAATATTTTGTACTGTAAATTTCTATCCGTAGTGTTCATAGCATTATTGATCACTTTGCATGAGATGATATATTTTTACCAAGCAATGGATTTCGAAACTCAACATACATCTTTCGAAGTCTACAGGCGCCCGCGTGGTGCAGTCGTTAAAGCGTTTGCTCAAGAGTCGCAAAGGAGTCAATCCTTACATCCCGGGATCGAATTCCACTGTTGGACGTGGAGACCGGTCCTTCGGATGAGACCGTATAAATTAAGGTCCCGTGTCGCAGTAGGTGCTGGCACGAAAAAATATCCCTCCCTGCTCAATGGCCCTCAGTGCCAAGTACATGTATATGACAAAATCAATCAATTGAAGTGTACAAATTCTCTTTAATTTTTTGTGTAATTTTTTTTAAACTTGTAAAGCATTAATTTCAAAAGATTAATCAAACTGTTTTTGTAACTTACAATGATACATAGTGTTACTTAAAAGGAGGGGTGTTTTGACGTATTCAATAGGTATACCAGTATACATCAATACACTAAACACTGTACAACAAAAAATAACTGTATCTGCACACCGCACTATGTACCCTTTTCAGAATACATATAACATTATGGTAATCGGATATTGTGAATTAGGTGAATTTCCTCTTGAACTGGTCAGGGAAAAGAAAATCCTTAAATATTGTTTTTTTTTCTTTTTAAGTAGTGATAATTGTATTCTTCAAGCATGTCTCCAAAAAAAGGATAGAAAATAATGATGACTGCATTGTAAATATTAGAAATGAATTTCACTGGCTAGGCTTTGCAAAATTGAACATGTTCGATAGAAACTGTAACACGATGTAGATATATACTATACTCCCGAAGACCAAGTGCCCTCAAATGAGTACAGTTACTTATTCATGTTATTACACAGAATAAAAAAGAATAATGTAATCTAGGAAAATTTGTGCAACTAGCGAGTGCATCAATAATAGTGCCTTTCACTTGTTTATACATTATAGAAAATATAATATGTACTGTACATGTTGCATGTTAAGTTCATCATTATATTTGTTATTAAAAATGTATGATTGTGAGATATATGTCTCTTGACTTTAATGAACTGAACTAAACTGAGATAAAATGAATAGAATTCCTAATGCCAGCAATGTACCTTAATTTTCAAAGAATACATTCATTTCCAAATGTTTGAATTTAATAAAAAAAAAATGTTTTTTTTTTATATTTGCAAAATCTGATTTCTACTTCGTGCACTATTTAAAATACCAGTACCCACTAGATTTTCTGACTTCAGCATAAATTTGCATGTTTCATTGGCTATCTGTTCACACTTTACTGAAATTGGGCTAATGCTCCTATCTTAAGAGAAAAAAAACAGGAATTTGTTATGGGGTGGGGGATAGTAGAAGGCAGGGGGTCCAAGGCTGCACTGAACTCCCCATTGGTTTTAGGATAGTGGACATATAAATTTTGTATACATTACTGTACATGTGCAAAATCTTCAAACGGGATGGGGGATGACCGGCACACTGGCACTGGATCTGCATTTGTGACATGTATACATCCCTGGGACCTTGCAACACCACTCCCGCACCTCAGATCTCCAGATTTCCGCATTATTCCGCATTTTTTCCTCATTTTAATATGGAAAAAATGTGGAAAAAAATACGGAGAAAATTAACAATACGGAAAAGCAGAAAATATACGGAAATAATCCGTAAAATAAACGGAAATAATACGGAGAATTGGACTTAGTCTATTTTTCATCTGGAAAAATATTGAACTCTTAACTTAGAATATTTTTCATCTGGAAAAAATACGGAGCTCTGGACTTAGAATTTTTTCATCAAGAACAAGATGTGTTTGTGAGACACAGTAGCACCTGGCGGCAACATTAAGTTCTAAAAAGCAATTTTTAGCAAATGGGTCTCAGTCAAGGTCACACAATCATTGTTCTTGGTGTCATTTGAAAGCACTTTATTAGTGTAGTATGCATACCAAATATTAAGTCTCTATCATCTATGGTTCAAAAGTTATGGCGAAAATTCGAAAAAAGCTATATTTAGCACATAGGTCACAGTCAAGGTCACAAGGTCATTGATCTTGGTGTCAGTTGAAGGTGCCTAATTAGTGGAGTATGCATACCAAATATGAAGTCTCTATCTCTCACGGTTTTAAAGTTATGGCGAAAGTTCGAAAAAGCTATTTTTAGCATATAGGTCACAGTCAAGGTCACAGACCTTGGTGTCAGTTGAAAGTGCCTAATTAGTGGAGTATGCATACCAAATATGAAGTCTCTATCTCTCACGGTTCAGAAGTTATGGCGAAAGTTCGAAAAAGCTATTTTTAGCATAAAGGTCACAATCAAGGTCATAAGGTCATTGACCTTGGTGTCAGTTGAAAGTGTTTTTGTAGTGGAGTATCCATACCAAATATGAAGTCTCTAAGTCTCATGGTTCAAAAGTTATGGCGAAGGTTAAAGTTGACAACAGACAAACAAACAGACAGACATACAGCTAAACAGACAGACAGGACAAAAACAATATGCGCCCCAAAAAAATTTGGGTGCATAAAAACTGTCTTGGAGTTAACAGCAGTTCTCTGTTTCTCCTGAATGTTATGTACAATTTGATCGGGATCGGAAGAATGTTTCAAAAAGTCGGGCTCAGTGATCAATTAATTTAAACAACAGACCGCCAAAATTTAACCTTGGCCTCCATGTTGCAACGTCTGCTCTGTCTAAAGGAAGAAGTTTGTTGACCAGACAGCCTGAGATCGTATTGCTGTATCAACCAAAAGATGCAGATACACGTATTTCATATGCGGTAGGTCAGTCATATTTTTTTTCACATGTGTGTCACTGTGATGATGAAAATAAATACTCTAGGCCTAGGACTGAGCTACCAGGCTATGTACGTTTCAGCCAATATGCCCATGATTCAAATCTTTCAATCAGCTCATAGAATTTTATTATGGTTAACCACAATTAAAGGTGTTAATTTTGGTGAGCCATGGGCTGTAATCTCTAGCAATGATTTACCATACATTTTTTTTTTGGTAGCGTCTGTGCATGAGGAGGAGATTTCTGAAAAAGAATAAGTGCTTATTCAACTTACTGCGATTTTAACGGGCTTAAAGCTTGGTCCATGGATGGTTATGTTTGAGGTATATATATTCTTTTATTTCTTTTTTTATTGCTTGTTTAATTAAAAACAGTCAACTATGATTGTCATTATTATAAATAATATTTTAAACAAATTGATATTAAATTGAAGAACCCAAACTTGTGTTTATAAAAAGATTTTAAAAGGAATAAAAGCAATGAATTTAAATATTATTAATATTGCACCATTATAATTTAAGAACTTTTTTTTTAATTGATAGGATTTGACAATTCGACCGCAAGTGCTGCTGCAAGAAATTAAACATGCAGAGACCTTACAAATTACAAAGAAGTCTGAAGAAAATTTTTATTGGACAGATGGGTGTAAAGCACAGACCTGAGATATAAATTGAATTGTGAGAAATATGAATCAGGGATGCAGGTAGAAAATGGCAAATGTGATCCAGATTGATAAAAAATGTCTAAAGTTTTTTCTTGTTTTGTAAATATTCAATGCTATGTCAATTGTTATTTTTTCCCCAATACCTAATAGTGTTGAACATTTCACTCCCACTTTTGCTTAAATAGAATGAATAAATTTCCATTTATTTAATATGAATATTAAAAAATGCCACATTTTTTCCATGATGAACTTGTGGCTTAAATAAGAGTTCCAGTTTTTTTTCCATACATGCTCCTATTTGTTTGTCAAAGATATAAGATCCAATACATTGCTCATGAACATAATGTGTAATTTTGTTCATTCATTTATATGTTTTTTTCTCATAATGATATTTAAGAAATAAGGTATCATTTTTTGAGTTTTATTGAGATGTAAAACGGGTTGGTCACGTGATCAAATCCCATAAAGCCCGAAGGGCTTTTGGGGAGATTTGATCATGTGTCAACCCGTTTTACATCTCAATAAAACTCAAAAAATGATATTTACATTTGTAACTTATTCATACATTATATTTGCCTGATTGTTACTTTTAACGTATGAAATGCGTTAATTTTTCAAACCCAACGGCATGTATGTAATCTACTAAACGCGCGTCGACCCTTTATGACGTCACAGAGAAATTACGTGGAACGTTTATCCAAACGCACATCTATGACCTCTTGACCCCAAACCTGTATTTACACAGTTATAAAAACGCTTGCCTTCAGTAGTGTTATGTAAAGGAAAACATTTGCAAATGTAAATATAATAAATTGTGTATAATTTTGCACATTGTTGATGGTTTTGTAAATATTTATGTATGTATGCATCATGTAGCGGTTTTATTAGCCATTTTATAACCATGTGATTAACTCCGTATTTTCTCCAGATTTCCGTATTTCCGCATTTTATCAACCATGTAAATACCTCCATATTTTGTATATATGGAAATGCGGAAATCTGGAGAGAAATACGGAAAAAGAGTCCAAATACTCCCATCCACATTTTCTCCATATTTTGAATACGGAGAAAATCTGGAAATTTGAATACGGAGAAAATCTGGAATGAATGCGGAAAATTAGTCCAAATACTCCCGTCCGCATTTTTTCATTTTGAATTTGCATTTTGAATACGGAGAAAATCTGGAATGAATGCGGAAAATTAGTCCAAATACTCCCGTCCGCATTTTTTCCTTATTTTGAATAAGGAAAAAATGTGGAGATCTGAGGTGCGGGCAACACAACCACATCATTTTCTTCTTTTCCGTGTCACCACGGAAACAAAGTACCAGTGGTTTAAAGTAATATCTTGCTGCTTTTGGAATTTGCTTTCTTGGGTACTATTTACATGTTCTCATATATAGGCACTGTCAGAAGGGTATATAAACAGTTCGATTTTGTGACACCCGATTGCACACTCGAAACTCGTGACCGACATGTAGTCCTCCTTGCGTGGTCTTAGATTTTTTGCGTTTATTCCTTGTTTTTATGTGCACTATTGTATCAACCTATACTTTTCATGATACTTTTGTACTGTTTTGGAAAAAGTTTGTTAACTTTGATAATTTCATCGCGACCGAGTAGCACGGCTATGTACATTTAAGATGTACGTCTACACTTGATTTCTACAGCAAAATACATTGAACTGAAAAGCGATCTGCTCCTTATATATGGGTTGTAGGGAGAGTGTTGAAGAATGGGAAATATGGTGGACTATGCCTTTTTACGAGTAGTTTTCAGCTTTAATCAAGAAACTTGTTATGTGACTCACCTTAAATAGTACTTATCTGGAAAAACTTAAGTTACATTGGATACATGTATCACTTCATCGTACCCCCTCCCTTTTAGAGGTAGGTCGGGACCACAAATACATTTAATCTTTCCAAGGCTGAACTGATTTTTGCTTTGATCAAGCTATGGTGCTCAGGTGAGAGATGTGGTCCCTGGGCCTTTTGTTTCAAATTTTAATTGATGCATATTTTTTTTCTGCTTAATTCCTTAGCACTGCACTTTTTGGAAGAATAAGGTTTGAGAATTTTGAAATGTGAAAATCTATATTAATTATGACCAAAACAATGTCTTTATATTGATCATCTGAGTGAGTTATATAGAAATATGATTTTTTTAAAAATTTAAATATAGGATTAAATAAAAACATGCATATTTTACAGTTGAAGGCTTGCTTTGGTTTCGTCCCTGGAAAATGTTTCAAGGCTCTTTTCTCTAATATTTTGTTGTACATGTATTTCAACCTTTACATATAACTGTGAGATTGAGATCGAAAGAAAACACTTCTAACTTTTATGGCCTGGAACCTTGTCACTTGTTTGTTTATAGGTACAAATGTTAACTATAACACTCTAAACATGTTACAAAATGCCATGTGGCGCTTAATAAATTTTCATGATTGCTACATGCTCATTGTTGTTGCCATGGGTTAACGTTAAAAACATAAGCAATTAATGCAGTTCCCTCTTTTTCTCTAAAAGTCATTTTATAACATGCAAAAGTTATGACCAAGGTAAAAGTGTTTGATGTTAAAATTTTGAGGTTATGCATGCCTTTAATCTAAAAAAAAAATAAAACATAAAAGACGGAAATTCAACTCATTTTTAACGTGCAAAACACAGTTTTATGTATGACGTTATCAGGACGTTACTTGGTGAGGGACATGCAAAACTGACCCCTATAAAAAAAATAAAATGGAGGCTTGTTACATAGGCTTCTGCATATCAATGGAAAGATAAAATTGTGGATTTTGTAAATATCCAACTATAATACATTCATCAATTACTACTAGGGGGTATTTGACACCTGAAATAAGGGGTATATTGGGTTGTTTATGCATCCATTTTCAGTGCACCTATGCATTTTTAACCCCCCTGCTCAACAAAAACAGAAAAAATCAGACAAAATAAGTTGCATGCATTTCACAGAACAAGTCCAGAGGTTTTCTTTTAGTGTGCTTTCAGGGTACATTTTCCACCTCTTGAAAGAGCTACATTACCTGCTAATTGACTCATGCAATTCTGCACATGTGAAAACTAGATGTTTTGGGAGTTATCTCCCCCTATTAAAAAGTCTCACAATTTTTTTTTCTAAAAATGAATGCACATTTTTTTCTTTAAATATCAAGATAAGACTTTATGCGAATAAAAACAAGAAAGATGCAGTTTTCATCTAGACTCCTATAAATAGCTGGAAAATCCCTACCCAGCATGCTTCTCTCTGGGAAAAACCCCCTGGATTTTATACGAAACTGTGTTTAGCTACCTTTGGCTTCAAGTTTACCATGTTGACCTTTGGAATTTAGCGCAGCAAGTACCCGATCTTAAACCATTATGAAAAAAATTAAAACGCCATAAATCTATCAAAAATCAATGAAGCGTAACGACATTCAAACTTGATCTGTGACTCACCAAGATACACTCACATGACAAAATTCAGCTCAATATATGCAAGCGTTTAGAAAATAAGTGTGGAAACCCAAGTAGGACAGACTTACAGACAGACATAGGGACAGCTAGACCGGCGGACAGAAACCTAAAGCCCCCCTCCAGTTTCACGGGTTGGGGACTAATAAAGTACAAAAAATGGGCTGAGGCTCTTAAATCTCTGTGGTCTGTCAAACACTGAATAATCTTTACAAACATATATGAGTGCATGTCAAAAGTGGATTTATTTTCTTTGTTGCTAAGGGGAATTTTCTGTTGCTATGGCGATAAGTACTTACAAAATATTCATGGATTCATAAAGAAGTCTCAGAAATATGTTTTTACTTTAAAAATTGGATTTGGTATCCGCCAATAAGATTTGATTCCATAAATAACTCGCATATTTGACAATTTGTCTCTTTCTCTTAATCAAAACATCCATTTTTGTTGCTAGGCAACCGATTGTAAATATTAAAAAACACACGTTTTTGAATTTAAATTCCAAAAGGGAAATTCCTCTGCTTTTATTTAAAATATACCATACTCTTGTATTGTGCCAGAAGTTTGAGATATATGGCCTTGAAAATTGCCCAAATTTACAAAAATGCTGAATCAGCAAAAATGCAAAACATGCATATCTTCCATTGCCCGTAAAAGAAATATCTTAAAATAAAAATAGTATGTATTGCATGGTTTTATCACTTGAAATGTTTATCTTTATGATAACATTATTTAAGAACCCCTCTGGTAATATTAACATTCAATTTAAAGCCTCTAAGTTTAGTGATATATTTGTCCATAAACATGGAAAATTGACCGGTTGCTAGGGAAAATTTCTTTGGCCATGTTTCCATAGTAACCAGGACCCAAAATAATTTTCATTTTACATACGTGATTCATAGTGTAAGAGAAACCTATGTGTGTAAAATAATCGAATTCTGAGAACCCTCATGATTCACTTTTATACACATATTGTCTGATTCTTACAGAGACCTGTACTTAAATAATGGTAAACCATCTATATTTATTTGAATCTTTAAACAGTGTTGATCGGGTAAAGTGTCAATTAATGAATTGAGTCTGAGTTGTTGAGTCACAGTTACAGATAAGCCAAAATGGTAATACTGTCCCCCGCACTTGTTTGGAATTAAGTAATTTACTTTCGTATTTAACAAAGTTCGTGCATCCTTAGGTAGTGAAGGATGATATTTTCTAAGAATTTTTATTAAATCAGAAATAGTAACATTGGGAACTTGGTGTTCAACAGCCCACTTTCTTAGTTCCTCAGAAATCTCTTCACATTGATTAATTTCTAACTCAGAATCAGACTCCTTATCAGACTAGAACTGATTGTCTAAAAGCGTTTCAAGATCAACGTGACCATGATCAGTATCATTTTCCCTCTCAAAATCAGTTTCCCCTTGATTATTACTAGTGCCTTCAGGATTCAGGCCCGCCCTTGTATCCAAACACTCCCTATTTTGAAAATCATGAGCTACAGGTTCGGGAATCAAATCTGACGCATTTGAGTTTGTAGCTTGTAATTCTGAATTCATAGTGCTTATATCTAGAAAATGTCCCTCAAGATTTTTTCTAACCTGTCGTCTAATAGACCAATATGACGATCCTCGTGTTGCCATGATTATTAAGTATAAATACAAATGACTATACAAATGACTATACAAATGCAAGATCAATGAATGTTCCAAATTCAAATATTAAAATCAATATTCAAAAGATACAATGAGTATACAATGGTTTGAAAGTTAGGAGAAGCTTACCTACAAACAAAACAAGTTAGATATCACAAACTAACCATTATTTAATTTACATTCTAGCTTTTAAACACAATAAATTTCTCTTAATATATATATTATTTGATTATGAAAATATTTTTACTTACATCTCTTTTCAGACACACTGTTGTTTAATCCATAGAATTTGAATTTCCCTTTCTCTTACTTGCCCGCGTTTTGAGTGAAACATCCACATGTGGGTAATTAAATTTGACAGCATCACCATTTAAATCGCTGCGACTCTCTCGGTTTAGTGTTTTGTTTCAATGCAATTATAAAGCTGGTTAGAAACGTTATCTTGATTTATGTGTATTTTACCTCTTTTCGCATCCTGTCTCTGGGAATATTTTCCAATTAGTCATAAAATTCTATATTATGTAAACTGTTGTAGGGTAACTCTCAATTTTGTCTTAAGTTATTTTCCCCCGTTATAATACACTCATGGAATTATAAATTGTATAAGAAATCAACAGACTGGATGGTACCTGAACTTGAATGCAACATTTCATAACTATATCTGCTTTACAAAGTGTGTAGAACAGAGAACATTTTTATTTAAAACATTTTTCCTTTCAATAAATTAAGTTCAAATCGCCATTTTGCTATCAGTTATTAAGCAGATGCACAATATCTTAACATTAGTAGTCTTAGGCAGATTGGGCTTATATTATTAAAAAAAACGTACTTCTGCTAACTTGTATATATATATGTACATCATTACCTCAAAACTTACATTGTACATCATATATATTTAATTTATGGACCAATTAACAATAATCATGTGTCCAAGGTATGAATACTCGTGTTTATGGAGGGCCAACGTTGGTCCAACGTACTGCTAGCTTGAATAGGCATGTCTTTAGGAATGCAATTACAAATTATACGAATTCGTGCCTGTATAGAAAATATAGCTTATATTGGTTAGTTAACGTTGGACCAACGTTGGGTCAATGTATAAGTGCCAACTTACTCGGAAATAGAGCAAATAGAAATCGGATGATGTTGGACCAACGTTGGGCCAACGTGAGAATCCCAACTTCCTTGGAAAAGATACCAAATAAGAGTCGGTCAACGTTGGCCCAACGTTGGGCCGATGTATGAATCCCAACTTCCTTGGAAAATAGAGCAAACAGAAGTCGGTTAACATTGTACCAACGTTGGGCCAACGTAAGGATCCAACCTTCATTGAAAAAGATAGCAAGTATGTGCTGGTTAACGTTGGGCCAACGTTGGGCCAATGTAAGGATACCAACATGGTTGGGTACTATAGAGAAAATTGACAATGTAACGTTGGCCCTACGTTGGCCCAACATAGGATACCCAACGCCAACCATTGACCAACAATACAACCATTTACCAACGTTGGCCCAACGTAGTCATGCTGTCTGGGTCAGTGGCAGCAAGAACAATTCTCTTTAATAAAAGACAATCTGCCTGAGAACTGGATACTTCAAGTGATGGATTTTGCTAAAAATAGAGGGATTAACTACCAAGAAGAAATCAAAGCAGCTTTCTATGCCAATTCCCAAATAACAATGCATCCTATTGTAAATTATTATCAAAAGGGAGATGGCCTGGTCAAAGATACATGCATTATACTATCTGAGGACCTCAATCATGACTACCATGCTGTAGACTATTACAAATCCTTAGTAGATGGTCACATTAAGGATCAGCTAGATCCCGAGAAACTGATAATTTTTTCTGATGGGTGTGCCGCCCAATACAAGTCCAAGGGACCCTTTGCAGACTTGTCTCTGAAAGAAATTCCAATATCAAGACATTATTTTGGTTCAGAACACGGAAAGAGTGTGTGTGATGCAGAGATAGGTGTCTTGAATAGAGCTGTGGATAGGGCTGTTATAGGGAAGAAAGTTGTTATAAATAACACTAAAGATCTCTTTGAATTCTGTGAAAAGAAGTTGATATTGGATGAACCTTACACAAAAAGGAACTTTTTCTTTGTAAAAGCAAATGAAATTCCAAGAGATCGGCCAAAGACAAATGTCAAACCAATTCCAAACACAAGGAAACTACACAATATTGAAAACACAACAGAACCATACTTGATCAAAGTGAGGAACCTATCTTGTTTTTGTACAAACTGTATGAAAGGAATATCTGAAACTTGCCTGAATTCTGATTATGTGTCAGCCTATCAGTCAAAGAAAATTACTTTGGTGAAGACAAAACACGATGCAAATGCAGGAAAGGATATTAAAGATGTAACCAAGGAGAATAAAGAGACATTGAAGGAATCTTCAGAGACAATGGTAACCAAAAAAGACAAAAGGAAAGCAGTGATTCCAAAAAAGCAATTAATAGGTGATGAGGATGATAAAGAAAACACAGAACAGGGCAACTGCATTAGCAAGAGAAACAAGAAGATTACTTTGGTGAAGACGAAATACGATGCAAATGCAGGAGAGGATATTGAAGATGTAACCAAGGAGAATAAAGAGACATTGAAGGAATCTACAAAGACAATGGTGACCAAAAAAGACAAAAGGAAAGCAGTGATCCCAAAAAAGCTATTAACGGGTGAAGAGGATGATAAAGAAAACACAGAAATAGATAACTGCATCAGCAAAAGAAGCAAGAAGATCCAAAATCAAACCAAAGCATCAATACGAGAAGGGACAAAAGCTAGAGGGGTTGTTGATGGAGAGAATGAGGCCTATTTATCTATTAATGCCTGTAAGAATTTCGAGGATCTAGAAACTATAACAGAAGAGATAAACCTATCACCCATCTCAGGAAAACCTACTGAAGTTACCATAATTACTCACAAAAGAACAATTGACAAAGCTTCTATGTCACTTGTACCACATGATGAAGATCTGACTAATCTTTTTCCCTGCCTGATTTATGGAGATGGGAACTGTCTTCCAAGGTGTGGTAGTCTATTTGCTTACGGTAGTGAAGATAATCATTTGGATATCCGTGCTAGAATTGTATTACACTTGGTGAAATACAAGGACATATACCTAAATGTGGACTTTATTAGAGATGACAACCTGAGGAAACCCTCAAATGATGCTTGCACATTTGCCATGTTTTCTGAATTCTACACTGTGGAAGTTCTGATAGACCGAGCAATTCAAAGAATTTTTGAAAAAGAAGTTTTATCTGTCAGAAAATCAGGATCATATATGGGAGCTTGGCAATTGGCTGCTCTTGCCAATGTTTTGGAGAGGCCAGTGCGCTCGGTATATCCCTTATATGGAGGTCAGACTGTTAGGAAAGACTTGAATAGAACATTTTTTCCTTTTTCAAAAGAAAAACTGGATCCAGTCTACATCTTATGGAGTAATATAAAAGGTGATGCCATTCCAGAGCATCAATGGAAGCCAAACCATTTTGTTGCCTTATTACCACTTGAACCAACTGTGAAGCATGATTATGACCATGCAGAAGACTGAAGAAGAAGGCGAATTAGAAGTTGTTGCTTCATTTCTTGTGGATATTGAAAACAGCATGGTAAGATTTTCTTTTAATTCAATTTAAAGCAACTGTTTGTCATTTGTGATTCGGTAATTGTGTCCCCCTCAAGATTTTAAAGTACATAATATTTTTATATTTAAATAGTGACTACCTGTCATATATATGTCAATATTTTTTATGAGGTAAAAAACTGGAATTACTTAAATATCAGTTTGCTAATAAATAATTTGTCTTTTAAAGGAACCCAGTGATATGGATTTTGATGAATCTACATTGACAGAAAGTCTTGATATTTCATCTTTAATATCAAACTTGGTAAGGAAATGATATTTACTAATTTTGCCAAAAGTGCTATGGATTTGGCTTCAATTTTCTGATGATAAATGCACTTTTTTGTATCCTGAAGCATATTTCATTAAAGATGGATTTCATGATCAGATAGAAGAAATTCAATTTTGGTCAAGATCTTTTTGTATTTCTGCTTGTTATCTCATTTTTGTATCTCCACAATTCTATTCCTTCCTCAGGACGAAGATTTATCACCAGAGATGTCTCCTATATACCCTACACTGAACGGGAAGAAACAGAGGTGAAAATTATTTTGTAATAATTTTTCCAACTATTAACTTGGTACAAATAATTATTTTATTTAGTTGAATGTCTATCTAATGGGAATCAACTAATCAAATACAGTCAACTAGAAAATGAGTTTCATATATGTCTTTTAAAGCAGTACAACTATACAGAGAGATACACCAGTACCAAATGATGTAGCAGAACAGTGTGTTGTAGCAGAACAGTGTGACGTAGCAGAACAGTGTGTTGTAGCAGAACAGTGTGACGTAGCAGAACAGTGTGACGTAGCAGAACAGTGTGACGTAGCAGAACAGTGTGTTGTAGCAGAACAGTGTGACGTAGCAGAACAGTGTGTTGTAGCAGAACAGTGTGACGTAGCAGAACAGTGTGTTGTAGCAGAACAGTGTGACATAGCAGAACAGTGTGTTGTAGCAGAACAGTGTGACGTAGCAGAACAGTGTGTTGTAGCAGAACAGTGTGACGTAGCAGAACAGTGTGTTGTAGCAGAACAGTGTGACGTAGCAGAACAGTGTGATGTAGCAGAACAGTGCGATAGAGCAGTGCAGAGAGATGGACAGGAAATAATCGCAGCAGAGAGAAAAGAGAAACAAAAACAGTTGGATACACGAAGGTTGGATTATCTATAGTTTTGAAAATAAATAATGTATAACAATGATACAAATCTGTATTTTTATAATCAGTAGCATCCCAAATCTATTTACTTTAATAATACTGTAGATCACTATATTTTCGCGACACCTTATTTTCGCGACTAAGCTATGTGGTATTTATAAGCGAGACAAAATTTTCGCAAGTTGTGGTTTTTGTTTTATATAAATATTAATAATACAAATTTAGGCGAAAATAAAGTTCTCGCGAATAAAAAGTGATTTACAGTATCAAGTTGTCAGAGGTATGTGAGTCAAATTAAGTTAAATATTGTGTATGTATGACTTCACTTTCAATAGTTATCCAGATGGCACTTACATTCAAGTGAAACATGGACTTGATATGTACCCCGCTGTTGTATGTAAAAGTCTTAGTTTTTTTACATGTTTAATAATGTTGAATTCTGTTTATATTTTATTTTGTTACCTCAAATTTTCTTCTTTTTTTTTTAAAAATTATGTTAGAATTTTCAGTATTATTTGTATTTGAATGATGCTTTGATGAAATACCTTCACAACAGGAGATAAGTGTAGAATTGTTTGTTTTATTTATAATATACCGAGTATCGTAATCTACAGTCTTTCATTTTTTTAAGTAACGTGCAATACTTATTTATCACTTAAAATTTATTAAGGTTTTTAATTAATCTTTTTTTTTTGGGGGGGGGGGGGACTTGATTCCTTTATAGACAATTTAGATTTCATTCTAATTGTTTTCTTTTTTTACATAACCAGGTTGATAACTGGCCATGGGTAAAATATTTTCACAAAATCAGACCTGGCCAATGGACCATGCGTGATACTACCTACACCATCCTCCAGGAAGATGTCTGTTGTGTCCTTAAACCACCAGAGATTGCACAGAATGGTCGTCGCTTTTTCTACGTATTTCAGGGTAAATTTGTACTATTTAACACAAATGTTTTGGAAATGTTATTAATAAAATTCTTCTAACTGTACATGCAACTGATAGTAATAAATTACTTTTTTCACTTTCAGATTTGGATAACTAGCAGTCATGAGTGAATTATTCAGTGATGTGTAGACCTGATAGGCACTTTATAAAAAGACCAGATTTAATGTGATTTGAAATGTTTATTCATAAACAGTATCAAAATTGTCAATTGGTAACAATATCAACAATTTAATCTGTCATTTGATGACAATAGCAACAATTTAGTCTGTCATGTGATGACAATAGCAACATAGTGATCTGTCAGTTGCTGATGATAGCAACCAAATAGTCCATCAAAATACTGATGATAGCAACTTTGGTTATTTTTAATCTATCAATATATGAAGGTTTATACACTTTGTAACAAAAGTTATTTAGGTCATCTGAATAATATATTATATTTCTTGGTCATGGATATACTGTTTAAGCTTAACTTCTCAAGATTTTCTCATTGACTTTGTTGCTATTGTCATAAAAATTCCGTCAAATTTCTGTCAAATTTTTACAATAGCAACAATGAATTTTTAAATGTCAATAAAATTAAAAATAAAGAGGCCTGTGTTTTTATTTTTTAATTTTGTGTCATGTGAGGTTCATATCTACATCATAAAAGCATAAAAATTGTGAAAAGAAAAGATTTCAAAATGACTTGTTACAATTTCATCAGTGTGCACTTTTCTATGGAAGATGTCAAAAGTGTTCAGCTCAGTTTCATTAAATCGTTTCAAGATATTTTTATCAAACATAATATGCTGATATGTATTAGTGAAGCTACTCAACTGCATCAAAAACTTCACCTTGCAAATTCCTGAGACCTTGACCTCCATCCTTTTTAATTTGTATTTCGCTTAGTTTTAAAGAAATGATTTAAGACATTTTTAAAACATCATTTTTCGACCCCCATTTGACCCCCCGGGGCAAAATCAAAATTCCGAAACCTTACTGCACATCTACATGACACCACCAACCATCTCCCAAAAGATGATTAGGCTACTGTGTAAAATGTACGAGGAGTTCAGGGAAGACGGGGCTTTTTGCATAAAAAATGTCATTTTTCGACCCCCATTTGACCCCCCGGGGCAAAATCAAAATTCTGAAACCTTACTGCACATCTACATGACACCACCAACCATCTCCCAAAAGATGATTAGGCTACTGTGTAAAATGTAAGAGGAGTTCAGGGAAGAAGGGGCTTTTTGCATAAAAAACGTCATTTTTCGACCCCCATTTGACCCCCCGGGGCAAAATTAAAATTCCGAAACCTTACTGCACATCTACATGACACCACCAACCATCTCCGAAAAGATGATTAGGCTACTGTGTAAAATGTAAGAGGAGTTCAGGGAAGACGGGGCTTTTTGCATAAAAAACGTCATTTTTCGACCCCCATTTGACCCCCCGGGGCAAAATCAAAATTTCGAAACCTTACTGCACATCTACATGACACCACCAACCATCTCCCAAAAGATGATTAGGCTACTGTGTAAAATGTAAGAGGAGTTCAGGGAAGACGGGGCTTTTTGCATAAAAAACGTCATTTTTCGACCCCCATTTGACCCCCCAGGGCAAAATCGAAATTCCGAAACCTTACTGCACATCTACATGACACCACCAACCATCTCCCAAAAGATGATTAGGCTACTGTGTAAAATGTAAGAGGAGTTCAGGGAAGAAGGGGCTTTTTGCATAAAAAACGTCATTTTTCGACCCCCATTTGACCCCCCGGGGCAAAATTAAAATTCCGAAACCTTACTGCACATCTACATGACACCATCAACCATCTCCCAAAAGATGATTAGGCTACTGTGTAAAATGTAAGAGGAGTTAAGGGAAGACGGGGCTTTTTGCATAAAAAACGTCATTTTTCGACCCCCATTTGACCCCCCGGGGCAATATCAAAATTTCGAAACCTTACTGCACATCTACATGACACCACCAACCATCTCCCAAAAGATGATTAGGCTACTGTGTAAAATGTAAGAGGAGTTCAGGGAAGACGGGGCTTTTTGCATAAAAAACGTCATTTTTCGACCCCCATTTGACCCCCCAGGGCAAAATCGAAATTCCGAAACCTTACTGCACATCTACATGACACCACCAACCATCTCCCAAAAGATGATTAGGCTACTGTGTAAAATGTAAGAGGAGTTCAGGGAAGAAAAGTGTGACAGACGGACGGACGGACGGACATGCTTAACAACAATATATCCGAACTTTCTTTAGAAAGTGCGGGTATAAAGAAGGAAACGGTTTGCATTTTTTAAAGATAATAAATTATTTTATAAAGGGTCTGTTAGCCCCCCCTTTCCAGAAAGCTATACGAATTAGCCAGGCACGTAGCATCATCTTTAAAAGGGGGGGGGGTTAGCCAAAGAAATATTTTTTTCTTACCTGGAAAAGTTGACAAGCAAGGAAAAACCTTGCCCAAAGTCGAAAAAGCTACTTATTTCAGTACCAGTTCCTTGGCATACAATACTACATTTCCGTTATTATCCCCTCGCGCAACTAGTTGCGGTGGGGATATAGCATCGCGAATGTGCGTATGTGTGTGTGTGTGTGTTAGTGTGTTCGTTATACCTTGTGGACAAGATTGACAGAAAACCTTTGCATTCACCATTCTCAGCGTTTACATACTTGTGTGGCAGTATAAAAGGACGAATCCTATTCATTTTCAAGTTCATTGTTGAAATATTTCTTCAGATGTTGCGTTTTTACTGCCTCGAAACCCTAACATTTTATATACGAGTTGACAACAATCATTTGTGGGCAAGATTGACAGAGAACTTTTGCATTAACCATTCTCAGCATTTACATACTTGTTGGTAGTATAAAAGGACGAAGCCTATTCATTTTCAAGTTCATTGTTGAAATATTTCTTCAGATACTATCGCGTTTTCAGTCTCGAAACCCTGACATTTTATGTACGTACGAGTTGACAATGATCATTTCCGCAAGGGAACCAGTTAAAGTCTGCGGTAACCAAATCAAAAGACTTCGATGAACGTCGCACTTTTATTACCAAATTCCAACAGGTGTCTGGGAATTTGGGGTGCACGTTATTCCTGAAAGCTGTAAATACAATCCACAAGTTCAGTTAACCTCTCGATGTACATGTGTACATTATTATTTTTCACTATGAAAAAAAATGCACATTGCCTGGAACCTTGAGATATACTTAGGTAGGTAAATAATTAAAATCACTAAAACATACATATAGCATACGTGATGCATAAGGGAAACTGCCCAATTACGTATGCACATTATGCCACCCCCCCCCCCCTCCCCTTCCCACTAAAATGCTAATAAATGCAATTTGATTTTTGTTAAAAAGACATCCTCCACCCCCGATAATTTTGATTAAAAATAAATAGTGCTGAAAAACAATTTAATATATAATAAACTTTACTACCCCAAATTAGGTATCCATGTTACCCCCCCCCCCCTTTAGCCAAGACGCTTTGCTCTTTGCATTTTGTAAAAAAAAAATGGATCATCAACAACATCCCACTAATAATTTTGTCAAAAGTGAGGGAGTTGATCCTAATGTTGCGGGTTTGAATCCCTTTGTGGGACGTGGAGACCGTGTAAACCAAGGGCCCATGTCCCAATAGATGCTGGCACAAAAAGATTTCTCACTGCTCAATGGTTATCAGTTCCTATTATAGAAAAGAATGTGCATCCCTCCGCCGGCAAGCCTTCATATGAGCAACAAATTCCTGAGAGGGACATTTGACAAAATACATTGTACTATCAATATTTAACATGTTTAACGTCCCTCGAGAGAATTTATCTCTTATAAGGTATTGCCATTACCACTGAAGTTCCTGTCGCGAGGGGATGCTCCGCTTGGCGGTGCCCTTGTATAACTTTACCGTAGTATAAACTGTGTGTGGGGGGGGGGGGGGGGGTTGGGGGGGTTGGCAACCTGTCTATCAATGAACATTTTCAATAGAAAAAGTAATGTTGGGGAAAAAGTGGGGGTGAGGCTAGGCCCCTTGACCCCCCGTGCGTACAGGTACAGAGAACTAATATGAAAATGGGTTGAACAGTTGAATGTGAACCGTAGTTGTGGAAATTAATAATTATTAGAATTATTAATTGTGAATTCAATAAAATCACGGTATATATATTTTTTCACAGATGTACATGTATGTCAGTTACACGGGGTTACATGAGTCTCTCTCTCTCTCTCTCTCTCTCTCTCTCTCTCTCTCTCTCTCTCTCTCTCAGATATTGTTTTTTACACACTTTACAAAAAAGAATTGAGAAAAGAATGTTTTCCGTTGATTAACGAAAAATAAGCTAAGAAATTATTGTATCAATTTTGTGTTTCTGCTCTCAATTCTCTGATCTAAAACAAAATGTGTATTTAACTCGGAAATCTACATGTACATATGTTTAGATCCTACACTAAAACTTTGATTAAATGCAGCTCAGACTTTATATGACATATGTAACACGAATTCAGGTCGATGCTATTTTAATTAGTCTTTCTTCGTTACATGAGCACATGAGATTAAATTATTCATTTAGAATTTCATTCAAAGTTTTAATACTATGCAGTGAATCAATTAATTTACAAATAAACTAGAAGTACTGTGAGCAATAAGCTCACTAAATGATACCCCCGCTTCCCATATGAATATAATGGCAGTGTCTATGTTTTGCTCTGAAAAATCCAAAATATATGTCAGATAAAAAAGTAAAACAGGAGGTGCACAATATGGCAAGCCGTTTTACTATTTATTCGTAAAATAATTTTTTCTTTCAATTTGAGAGATATCTCTTTAGCCTATAGAGATATCTCTTTGACTAATAAAGATATCTCTTTAAACAAAAGAGATATCTCTTTTTGATGGAGAGATATCTCTTTTTGTAAGAGAGATATCTTTATAAGCTAGAGAGATATCTCTTTCAGCTAGAGAGATATCTCTTTCAGCGAGAGAGATATCTCTTAAAGTTAGAGAGATATCTCTTTAACAACTTTAAAAGAGATATCTCTCTTAGTTAGATAGATATCTCTATAGATTTTCAAAAAGAGATATCTTTCTACGCTAAAGAGATATCTCTTTTAATGAAAGAGATATCTCTTTTCAAATCACCCTTAAAATAACATAATTAATTCTCCCGTTGAAAACGAAAGCGAAACAGGAAGTAATGTTTGTTAAGTCGTTCGTTTTTTTTTGATTATTGAAAAAGAAAAAGGAGAAAATGGATTGATTGGTACAGGTAAACAACGTTTAATCGCTTTATTGTTTTAGTAAATTACGTACATACATTACATACAAGCTATTCCAAATGGGTAACGAGCATTTTATAGCATAAATGTAAGTTGAAATTGTTTTCAAACTAAATTGTTCTCCAAAGATTGGTTCCATATATTGATTTCAGGCACATAGCATCGTTTTTGAAAGGGGTCGGGGTGGGGGGGGGGGCGCAACTAGAGAGATTTGTTTTTTATACTTACCAGTAAAAGTTGACCAAACTCGATAATCCTATTTCAGGAGGGGGGGGGGGGTGTTAGTGGCCAATTTTGTTCAAGACCAAATTCCTTTCACTTCCAATTTTTATAGCATAAAATACTACATTTCCATGATATCACTATACTGTTATTCTATACTGTGGTAAGAAGTGGGGGGGGGGAGCAACAAACCATTCAA